TGTTGGTAAAATGTTAAGTAATTCAAAAATAAAATTATTAAGTGACTATTACTTTTTACATATTAACACTTAGCCATGCTCTATTGGACAGACACTGCTTCTTGCTGTTTCCATGCTTTACTTGTGGAGTGGTATAGATTGCCTTTTTATCAGGGCTTACTTTATCTTCACTTAGGTGAAGATAAAGTAAGCCCTGATAAAAAGGCAATCTATACCACTTTTTGTGTGTGTGTTTTTTTGTTTGTTTTTGGTTCATGAGGCTGCTGACCTGTTTGTACTTTCAGTTGAGTTTTGCATGTCCTGTGGTTACTGACTTCCAGTTTAACTCATGGGGTGGGTGAACAAACACCAATAACACTACTGAGAAGGTTGTATTTAATATTTTCAATGATGAGCCAGTTTTACTCTTTTTAGAAATGCATTTATTTGCACAAAGTGTTGTCACCTATTTTTCTTAAATGCTATAAAAAAAAAAGTGTGTTTCTTGTTTTTTTCCAATACGAAAATGGAGAATTGTGCTGAACAGTACCACAGGTGTTGCTCTGTGATGCTGTGCAAAATGCACCCTCAGTGTTGCAGGGATCATATGTCCAATTTAAATTGCTTCTGCTACAGTGACTGCAGGGGTTTTGTGACGGTTTCCTCACTGTGACAATTACAAGCATCAGTAACCAAGCAGGTCATGCTGACCAGGGAATTGGTTCTGCTGCCTGTTCCCATTTCCACTCTGTTCTGGTTCTTGCCACAGATCATTATAGCACTGGTCCATTTGGTCATGACCAGAAGATCCCAGCCACTGTTTTGCATTCCTGCAGGAAAAAAATGCAAATTGCTTGAAGTGCCAAAGGAAAGGTTTGACTTGTGCCATTTGCTGACACAACTATTTTCTGTACTTGCTAATTCAAGTGTATGAGCTCACTGTCTGAAGTTGTCTGGGGGCTGGACTTGTGAGTAGATGAAAAATGTGCCTGGTCGGCTGCTGCTGCCCAATGGCTGGGGAGTGATTGGTGGAGCATCACGAGTTAAAGTGAAAGTCAAGGCAGAACTTTTTATTATAACTGTATCAGGAACTGTCACCTTGAATTCAGATGCCATCAAAACAGATGCCAACTGATACAGATGAAAAGAAAAAGATACATGAAAAGGGAATTATAGTTCAAATCTCTTAAGCAGTGTAGAGATACTAGACTAATGGGTGGGTACCTCTGTACTCTGTGTCCTTTTCTAAAACTATCTATGAATGTTACTCAAACTCAACCTTATGTTGCCTATGGGCTTTTTGTTCTCCCTCCTGCACTCTGTAAGTTTGCTCCAGAATACACTTTTCTCTGTCTTTGGCACACAGTTATGTACTGACTGAGAACTGCCTTCCTTTTGGGGCAAAGTCTCCATTTGTCTTTGCTGTTTTTTTCATTGTGACCACTTTTGCTCTTTTATGTTTCAGTAGACAATGTCATTTTGATGCAGCACACCAGATAAATACAGTAATTTTATTGAGGCAGACTTTGAGGAGTACTATTGATTATTTATGGAGACATACTGTTTTAATCAAGTAAATTCATTTAAACTGTCATGGTGAGTCAGTATGATTCTGTGCTTATGCTTCATGCTGGAGAGTAGGTTTGTATTATAGATGATGCTGGTGATTTAGAGGATGTAACAGCATCAGTCAATTGGCACAGGAGTTTGGCTGTGCTGGTTTAGTGTCTCATATGATCTCACAAGTGCTTTGAAAACATTGATGTAAAGTTATTTTCAGGGCCTGACTTAAACAAAAGAAATGCCTTGTCTCTGGTTTGCTGAGTTGCTGGTGCTGCCAGGGGAGGTTCTGTGTGATGCCCTGGCTGGCAGTGCCCTCCAGTGCTGAGCAGAACGTGGGTTAGAGCTGCAGCTGCTCTGCTCCAGCTGCCTCACCTGGCCTCCTGGCTGGCTCCTCCCTCCCAGCATTTCTAGGCAGTTAGTAATTTTTCCTGACTCCCTGGCCTGGCCTTCAGTCACAAGGCTGTTTTTACCTTTGTGTGAGCATGCAGTAACACCTGACACCAGAACTTGTGTGAGATTAGGTGAATACTGAGGGTGCTCTAAATGTTGGGAGTCATTCTGGCATGTTTTGATGAGTTGAGATTCTGGATTGTGTTACATTTTTGGATAGTTATATGGGCAGGTATGCTGCAAAAGGTGTCTGAGAAGTCTTTTACTGACCTGTATTTCAATGTAGGATGCTTTATTAGTGACTATCCTTATCATTTTCTAAACCGTTGAAGTGTGTTACATTTAAAATTAGTGTCACTGAAATGTTTGGCGTTGGAAAGGTCATATTTTTCAAGTACTGCATTCACAAAACCAGAATTGTGGCATTGTTTAGGTTGGAAAAGGTCAAGTCCAACTGCTTCCTGAGCACTGCCAAACCCATGACCAAGCCCTGTCCCTGAGCACCACATCCACAGGGCTGTTAAATCCCTCCAGGGATGGTGCCTCCACCACTGCCCTGGGCAGCCTGTGAAGAAATTTTTCCTAAAATCCAATCTAAGCCTCAGAGATGGGCATCAATCACTGCATTTTGGGCATATGTCAGAAACTGCTGCTCCTGGCACCGAGTTGCACCTCGCTGTGGTGCTTGCTGCCCTCTAAAAGCAGTGAGGCTTCCTTGGCTCCAAACCACGTTCCTGCAGCGGCTGCTGGTGGGATTGCCCTTTGCTGTTGATGGAGTCATCCCTTCATGGTGAGAGATGTTGAGGCTGGGCCAGGACCTGCACTCTGGGTAAACAGATCAAGATCAGCAGTGCCTGAATGTCAGGTTAGCAGGGGATGCTCTGCAGTGCTCTGTCACAGTTAGTGCTGGGCACCCCAGAGGTGTTCTGCTCTGTGGTTTGTTGTTTTGTTTTATCTGCATGTCAGAATAGTTCTGGGGGAAGATAAGGTTAGTTTGCTTTTATTTCTCCCCCCTCCAGGCTTTATCCTTTTAAGTTTGCCAGTGCTCACTTCAGTGAGTGCTCACAATGCTCATTGTACTGCCAAGGCAGCTCTGCCCTGGGAGCTCCTCGTGTGCCAGCAGAGGCTCCAGGACTGTCTCACACACCTTCACCTGCTTCTCTGCAGCTTCTTGCCAGGGAGGAGCTGATGGCAAATTGTGTTGAAAGGCTTTTAATTAACAGCTTCTCAGCAGGAGCTGTTCCTATGCCTCATGAGTTGCAACAGAGCGATGTTTAATTTGTTAGCAAGCCGAAGTGTATTCAAAAGAAAAATCTTTCCACTTTGTAATTTCTTAAATGATGCCTTTCACACTCAATGTTTTAAAGCATCTGATTTGCAATTAAGGCTTACAGCTCATTAAGCTTACTCACAAAAACATTTTGCTAATATGAAGTGTGTAAGATCTCCTATTTTTCAGTCTTTAATTTTTTCTCTTTTTGTGGCAGCTTTATTTTGTGCAACAACAGTATTAATCTGTGTAGACTGTGCACAAGACCTCTTGTTCCTGAGAGCTTTTTAAAAGATTTTACCTTCTCCTTCCTGCTAAGTCTATTTTTTGCTTTTTCCTGTGGTTCCTTCTGTTGTCCCATCTGTTTGGTAGCACTGCTTTATTCTCTCCTGGTGTTTGACATACACTAATCCTTTTACTTTCTATTCTTCACAGCTTTGTTAAACTGCAGTGTGTAGTTCAGTTTTGCTTCTGTCTGCCCTTCACTAGGATGTTCCAGGATGAGCTATGATTTTTTGAAATTGAGAACTGTTAAAAATTGTTCCTTCCCACTTTCCCCCTCCCTCTCTTTTTACTTTATTTTTATTACTTCTTGCACATGCCATTTTTGGTGCTGTTAGCCTTTGGGAAAAATACTGTAATGACTCTGGTTTCTTGCTTCTCAAAATCTCCAGATCTTTCCATTTTTCCACAGTTTCCAAAAGCTGTAAAGGTGGTTGTTCAAGTAAAATGAGATGGAAATACCTCAGTCCTGCAAAATGTATGTGTATAATGGATTTCACTTAATGCAATCAAACAACTCTTTTTGAGACCATTAATGGTCTCAAATTAAGTTCAATGATTCCTGAGAGGTTTTCAAATACTAATAATGAAAAATTGGGGGAGGAAGGGAGTGGTGTAGAAAATATCAGAATTTTGAGGTTGTTTTATCAGTACTCAGAGATTAAAATCTTGCTAAGATGGTTAGTTTTTGGAGTCCAGAAGAGTTTTGGTAAGCAAATATGTGTTAATTACATATGTACATAAGAATTGTCATTCTCAAAAGCAGGAAAAATAAAGAGAGGCCTCTTTCTGTGAGGAAATAAGTTCTGGGGTAAAAAGAGAAAAAAAGTTACTTTCTGTCAACAGGTTTAAATGTTCTGTCATAAATAGAACTCAGTTCAAAGGATCTGGGAATCTCAGAAGATTTCTTTCAAGACTGACCAATTTCCTGCAACACACTGTCAGTGCTAGGAGGAGGCATCTCTTTCACATAAGAGCAGCTGATTGTTTAAAAGAAAAAAAGGCATGTAAGGGGGGAGAACAACCCCCTCTCATCCCTTATATAGAGCAGTTTTCCACAGGAGAACGTACATCTGTGAAAACAGGGCACTTGAACAAATTCTGTACTCTTCAGAATGTCATTTTGCAAGGAAAAGAGTGTTTGGATGTTTTCAGGAGAGGGCTTGGGTTTTTTGTGTTTTTATTTTTGCAATGAGTAACAACTACTGAGGCTTTATTACTTTTTTGTTTACTGTGTAGTGGTATTGACAGCATTTCTTAGTCTTCATTATCTTAGGAATTGTGAATGTATTAACCCTGTGTTAGCAGGAGTGAGCTTAATTTTATGGAAAATAGAAATCTTTTTTATGTACCTGAAAGTTTTGTTGTGGAAATACAGTTAATCCTATTGTTAGGGTGAGGGCAACTTCTCCATTTTGTTGTTGCCAATTTGAATTGCCTTGTGTTCTTGCCTTTATAGGATAACTGATGCTTCCACATCTGAAATATATATTTGCCACTATTTTGTTGTTTGCAGGAACCACAGATATCTGAAGATGAAACCATGAAGAGCAAGCAGAGTGAATAATAATGCTTTTCCGCAACCGTTTTCTGTTCTTGCTGGCCTTGGCAGCCTTATTAGCCTTTTTGAGCCTCAGTCTACAATTCTGTAAGTGTGCTCATGCTTTGTTTTCCACATATGTTGGTCTGTAGGTGTGTTTAAAAATGGCCATGATTACAGGTTGTTTAAGCATTCTTTATTTATTGAAATACTTGGAATTTATTTTGGGTGTTTTTGTTTGTTTGTAAGGATTTTTTTGTTTTCCAAAAAGGTAAGAAACAGTTTTGTGTAGAAATCTGTAGATTCTAGAGAGTTCAAATCAGGCTATTTTATTAAAAAAAAAAACCCTGCATTTTGTAGTGCAGTTAAGAAATTGGGCGTGATTTAATCCTTCCATGAAACTAGACAAAAAACATTGGAGTGAAAACTGATGCAATTCCTATTTTACATTGCGTCAGACCAGATGGGGTTTAGGAAACTTCTGTGAGAGGTTTGAGTGCTGGAACTTCTCCTGATTTGTACCCTCCCATCAGGAAACTTCACGCAGCTGGATTGGTTCATCAGAAGAGGTTGGTTTGTTCAAGAACAGGTAAATTGTGTTGTGCTTTAGTGGGTCAGTGCAGAGGGCCCTGGCATCCTGGTGCTGAGCAGGAGGTGGTGCTGAAGGCAGGGCACTGCAGGTGCCAGGTGAGCGCTGTGCCCTGGGCCTGGTTATCACCTGCTGCAGCAGAGAGAACATTTCCTAGGTAAAGCCATATTTTGTGATAATGTGGTCTGTACTAATTAATGCACAGCAATGTAGTGAGGTGCACAGTCCATAGGATAGGATAACATTGTATGTTGTTATTGTCATCTTTCATTGTGTTCTACTGAGCACAGACCTTCTGGGCTGTGCTTTTTTCTGCATAGTGTAAAAACCCCCAAAACCCACAAGATTACATTAGACTGTGTCTTTTGCACATGACAGACAACTTAAAAAAAGGGAGAGAGAGAAAATGAAAGAAACTTTGTGGTTTTATACTGTTATTTCAATGTGCTTAAACTCATCTGCATGTAATAAAGGGACCTGTGGCTCTGAATTGCTTTTTCAGCCTCCTCCGGGCACAAGCCAGGGGTCTGATTGCAGCTTGTTTTGCCCTTTAGGCTCGTAATAGCTCTGCCCTTGATGTTGGTTATGAATTGTGCATAGGGTGAAGGTCCTAGAGGAGCTGCAGTTGAAACATGAAACTGAATTGTTAACTAAATGAGTTTTATTTAGAGATGAGGAGGTAGGCATTTCGGAGAGTGAATCACATTTCATCTAAAGATAAAATGATTTTCTGCTTAATTAGAACATAACATTTCTGCTAGAGATAAGGATGTTGGAGAAGTGCTTTGAAAAGCACAGAAGCTGCAGCAGGCAGCCAAGGTGAAGCTCAGTGCCAATAGCAGCACTGATACAGAGACCTTTACATCATGAGAACTGCAGTGCAGTCCACTGGGAGCCAAGGCATTCAGATAGCCTGATACTTCTACCAGCTTCAGAATGTAATTAGTCCAAACTCGGAGCAAAGTCCATCTTCATAGCAAAACCAAAACCCTCTTGGATCACCTTGTGCTTCTAGGTGAGCTGTGCCAGCTGGGCAGCCTGCAACTCAGCAGCTTCAGGTGAGTTACCAGTGCTGTCACTTGTTGCTTTCTTTATCAGGAGCTTTGTCACAGCCTCATCAGTGCCTGTTTCTGTCAGGAAACACTGTTTCTTCACATCCTCAGAATGTTGAACTTTGGGATTGATGAGTGTGGCTGGTTGCAGCATTCTCCAAAACCGAAATTAGCATGAATCCTTCCTTCTCCATCCAGCACTTAAAACTTCTTTGCAAAAAGGGTAAAATTTGAGCTATTTTACCCCCACTTAGGCAGAGCATCCTGCTACAGGCCCCTCATGAAAAGACAGACTCTGAGGTCTGGAGCAATTCCCCAGTGGAGCTGGTGCAGGATTTGCAGCACAAGTCTGATCAGGAATGGCTGAGGGAGCTGGGAGTGTTTAGCCTGGAGAAAAGGGGGCTCAGGGGGATTTTATCACTCTCTACAACTACCAAAAAGGAGGTTGTACAAGGTGGGAATCAGTCTCTTCTCCCAGATAACAAGTGATAGGACAAGAGGAAACAGTCTCAAGTTGTGCCAGGGGAGGTTTATATTGGATATTCTTCACCAGAAGGGTGGTGTGGCATTGAACAGGCTGCTCAGGGCAGTGGTGGAGCCACCATCCCTGGAGGCATTTCAAAGACATGTAGATGTGGCACTTGGGGTCATGGTTTAGTGGTGAACACGGTGTGCTGGGTTAATGGTTTGTGTTGTTTTAAGAGGTCTTTTCCAAACTAAATGATTGATACTATGGTTTATGTTCATGGAGTGAAAATGAGTGTTTATACATTTAGACTCGGGAAAATGCCAAAGCCACTGATTTATTTTGTTTTGTTAGAAGGGAGGTACCTCCTGAAGCATTTGGAGTGGAAATGAATGTTTTATGCTGTTGTGAGATTGTGAATCTCTGTTAGCAAGCAGTGCACAGCTTTGTGGAGGAGGGTTGGTAATTTTAAAATATGCTTCTGCTTTTCTAAGCATGAAATGTTGAAAATGTTTGTTCCTTTCTGTGATAAATTTGTTTATAAAAGCAAAACAGTAACACTAAATATATACTTATATAAGTGGTACATATCTTCTATTTTCAAACTAATGCTTTAGATCAGACCATAACTCCTCTAAGTGCTTGATATTTTATCCCTCTTATCCACATGTGGAACTGTGGCATTTGAAGCCATTTGATGTGAATTGTGGCTGACTCTGAAGCAAAGGGAGTAGTAAAGGCCAAACTCAGCTGTTTTTCTGTAGGTTCTGACTCAATATTACAAACAGCCCACACTGGGATGGCTGACAAGGTCACAGTCTGGCTCATGCTACAGCTGTGAGGGTTCAGGAATTGCTTGCAGCAGTTTGCCACCCATCGAACAGAAAAGGATGCTGGTTTACTTTAATGTGCTGTGCTGGGAAGGACCTGGAACTGCTTTTTGAGCAGTGGTTTCCTCAGCCATGATGAGGTGGAGGTGATGGGTGGTCGTGTGAGCAGTCCTAGTAAATCTGTCTTTGCTTGTAAGACAAACTCCTGAGGCAATTGTTTCAGAGCTTGTAGGTGTCACATCTCGAGTTCAGACACAAGGAGAAAAAGACTGGGGAAAACAACCAGGGTAGGACCTCAGAATCTTCAGTGTTGGTAAGCTGGGGATGAACCCAGGACTGACAAAACTCTGACCAAGAACTTGGTTGTTCTTGGTCCCTTTCTCTTATCTTGAGCTTTCTGAGTTCTGTAGTCTGCTTTCCTGTGCTGTTTTCACCACAAGGCTGGTGCTATATGTGGATACTAACAGCTCAACTCACAGGGTAAATCATGGAGAAAGTTCCCCCCAAAGTCTCCCTCAAGAGCTCTGAGAGCCAGAAGTGTTCTCTCCCACCGGCAGTTTCAGTGGATGGACACGGAGCAGCTGGCCAGGATCCAGGTCGGAAGCTGCCCTCAGCTCTGTCCCAGGGCCAGGGCAGGCAGCTCTTGGAGCAGTTGGTTTATGTTTGTCACATGTGTGTGCTGGCTTGGCTGGCTGCAGCAAATGCCAGCTGCATCTTCTTCATCTCCTTATCCTGGGTAGGAGGAGACATATAAGCAGATTGCTGCACAGCTGGAGACTCTTCTTAAACTGTGACAGTCATTCCTCAAGCTGATGTGGTGCTTGGATCCTGTGAGACACACTCCTTCCTGCCAGGGTCCTCTGTCCTGTGCATTTTGGGCAATGGGGCACTCGTCTGGTTCTGCTCTCTGCATCCTTGAACAGGAGCACAAGGCCCAGGGTCTGTGTTGGGCTTTGTCTGCCCATGGGGCTCACTGCTTTCCTGGGAATTTCACCAAGATAGGGGAACTTGCTTCAGGAAGTCCTACTGTTTTTGGGTTCTGTGTGTTTATTGACATAAATAATGCCACAGATTTTTTTTTCCTTTTTTTTTCTTTTTTCCTGAACATTCCTGGTGGATGATGGGTGAAATGCATTTGAGACACATTTGAAAATTTACTAGGATATTTTAATACCTGTTCATAGTTTTGTCAGGTTTGGTTACCATTTCTAGTAGGCACATAGAAGACTTTTAAAAACAAGGAGTTTATACTTGCTGAAAACATACAAACCTTAACAGTTCTAGGCATCTTTAATGTAATTGTGTGGCCTGGATTTCGAAGCAAAAGGCTGGGGCCAGATGTGCTCTCAAATTCAGTTTTGCTATTAATGCATTGTACAGAGTTAAACCTGGAGCAATCAGCAATAGAGGGAACCTCTCTTGAATGGCAAATGCCACTGGATTTTGTACATGTTTGAATTTTTAAATAGTGTAGGAAAATGACAGTGTTAAAAGCTAATATGAAAGAAATGTTCCACTGCTGGCTAGAAGGATACTCTGATGTCTCTAATGGAAAATTATATCAATGGAACATTTTTGTTTGGGAAACCCATTTGACTGGGAAACTGGTTGACTTCCAACCATGACTAGCAGATTAAAGTTTTATTAGGAATTGTCTTTGTTTCTCTCTTGTTTTACATTTGGGGCCAGATCTACAGAAAAGAGTGGAGAAGTATTTTTCTTATAGTGTTTATTAGTCCACATGTGTTTCTATTTTTCTCCTCTTTGTTTATGTAAATGGTCATGGTTGTAAAACAGTTTAAAACTTTAGCATTAGAGACAAGAGGAGAGCTGGTTTTGATAGACTTGTCAGTAAGGCTGTTCTAAAATGTAATTATGTTATTTTTATCTAAAGTTTTCAGTGTTTTGCTTTGTCAGAAAAACTGCAGAATGGAAAAATTACCTCTGCTAGACTGTGTATTTTTGTCTCTGCAAATATTACCTGTAATGCTGTTGACTAAAAATGGGCAGTTTAGTTCAGTACAAACATAGAGAATATATGTAGGGATACTTCATTCTTTTTTTGCCAGAAGAAGGGGTTGCAGTGGCTGAGGTCTTTCTTCTTGCTCTGACTGCCTAGAGCAGTGCAAAGGGAAGGTAAATGCAGTGGCTGGGGGCAATTCTTGCAGTTC